GCTTTGCGCCTTTCCTGGAACTCACTTGGTAGCCCAAGCTGGCCTCAAACTCAGAGTTCCGCCTGCCTCTGCCTCCCCAGTGCTGGGATTAAAGGTGAGCGCCGCTACCGCCCAGCTAAGAAACGGATCTTAAATCTTACTCTTCTCTGAGGCTTACTTTCCTCCCCCCCCCCACTCCCGATCCCCGACCCCCACCCCAAGACAGGGTCTCACTATGCAGCCATGGCTTGTCCTGGAAATCACTATGAAGATCAGGTTGGCCTTGAACTCACAGACACCCACCTGCCTCGCCTGAGAGCTGTTATTAAAGGTGTGCACCATTGTATTGACTGTAAAATGTAGCTTTCGTTCTTGGGAACACAGCTTAGCAAAACAAATCAGAAATTAAGTATCAATGACTTAAGACCCTCCAGGATGACAGAAGCACACAATCAACCCATTTATAATATCCCAGTTAACTGTCACAAAGGCTTAAATGTTGGTGTGAAGACACCATGTAACTTTAACTTGACTTCCTATACTTGAAAGCATAGCAGAGGCCACGCTCAACCTCAGAGAGCGGCTCTCTATCTCAGCTACCTGACAAACATCATTTGTCAGTTTTCCACAGAAGAGACTACTTCAAAAAACCAAACAAGCACTAGGAAATTTGGAATCGCAGACCCTTGTAAGTAGTTCAAAGCCATTTCCCTCCATCTGACACATTCAGAATTCACCTGCCAACGTTTTAGGCAATGAGTTTAAGTTGTGGAGCACTTTTCAAGCATGAGAGCACTTACATTTGGAAGACAAAATCTGAATACAGTTCAAAAGCTCTCTGATGGGCTGGAGAGATGGTTCAGCCGTTCAAGGCTAGGCTCAACAACCAAAAGCTCTCTGACAAATTGGTTAATCCCAGCGCTAGGGAGGTGGAGGCGCCTGGTTTGGCCTACAACTGGCTGATAGGAAAGCACTCAATCAAGAACTCATGTTACGCTTAAAAATTCCCTCCCATGCATACTTCATCATTCATTCATCCATTCATTCTCTCTCCTCTAACGCTGAAAATTACTATCTGATGCTTTATCAATTAGGGAAGAGTAAAGGCAGTATACAAATAAGGCCCAGCTTTACTAAGTAAAGGAGGCTAGGGACAATAAGCCATGCTGGAGTTCATGAAAGTGTTCACACTAAGGAAATACAGACATGGGCTCAGCTACAACATAATCCCTAGACTTTCCACTTTAGGAACGTTTCATATACTCTAGCCCAGGGCTTTTCAGAAAGCCAGAAATGAACTTATAGTTTACTGCAACTTGTTCATCTGTTCAGAAACACTCAGCAGCCAATATGACACAGATGCTATTATCTTTACCAAGTGTAAAATCTTGATGTGCCCGAGGTAGGGAGGACCACAAGACAACCAGTTAAAAAGCAGCTGTAGCAGGGCACACCTCTAGCTTCACACTCAAGAGGCTGAAGTGAGAGAGTACCACAGGTAAACAATGTCTCCAACAACAAAAACAGGAAGCTTAAAGTCACTCTGTATTCTTAAACAACGGAAGATAATATACAATATATAATGAATGAAGGCTTGCTTTTGTGAGTTCATATCTGATTTATAACAAAAGATAAAGAAAAAAAAAAACAGACTAAAAAGTCCACAACTACTCCTGACCAGGCCACTCCAATAGAAATTGGACTTTCAAGGAAACATCAATACAAAAGACACTGATCCTGTGAAGCATCCCAGAGCTGAAATCCTCACCTGATCCCATTCCACCCAATCACACAACTGTTACAGAACATCTGAGTGCAAACACATCCTTATCTACAAATTTCATACAGGGTCTGAGAAAACAGCCTTTCACCTAAGACCTACATTTTAAACCCAGTAGTCACACTTCCAAGAAAATGACCAAACTGATGCTTTACTATTTAGTCTCCAGTGAGTCACGGCAAGACTACCACTTTAAACAACTCCAATGAAATAGCTACACATTACTACTACATCAGTAACAGAACTTACTTTTGTATAGCGATGGGGGGATTTGGAGGTGGGCAGTTTCTTTAGGTCAAAGAAAGCATCTCCATTTTCTGTTTCATCCACACTTCTCTTCTCCATGGCTTCTTGGTGTACAATTTTTTTGCACCTGGTAAGATAAATTTCAGCACAAAATTGTCAAGGGGAACAATAAATATTCAGAACCCTTAGCTGCTTATGAAACGAAACTTTGAGGGGGAAAAAAATCTAAATAGTTGTGTAAAGAAATCCACCCCAAAATTATGGTATGAACTAGAACTAAACTGGAAAAAGAACCACCTTAAGTACTGAGTATCCACAGCACAAGGAAAGCAGAAGTGGAAGGGGCCCAACTCAGGGTACAACCTTTAATTATCTTTAATACAAAGAGAAACCAAAAGAGTCGCTGCCACCCACGAGAAGCGACCAGGCGGTGCTGGTGAAGTTTCCCGGAGTCGAGTAGGGGCAGGACTGGTTAGGCTGCCGATCCGGGAAGTCAGACTGCTGGAAAGTGCCTGTCACTTGTCAATGGACGGCACCAGCTGCCCCTTATTACCCCAATGGACGGGGCTGGGGCACCGGCCCGGGCGCACCGCTCTCGGCCGGCCACACCTGTGGCCATGTGAGGGGCGTCCGCGGCGAGGGAAGGTCCGGTGCGGGCCTCCTCCTCGGGGAAACTCCGCTCCTTAAACCAACCCCCGGCCCCTCGCGCAGGCCCCGGGCCGGAGGCCTCCTCGGGGAAGAAGGGCGGGGGCGATACTCACGGAGAGAGGCGGGCCGGAGGGAGCAGGGACCCAGTC